CATGGATCCGTTGGGTTGTAAAATGGTTCTTTCAGTGTTAAATGAATTTCTTCCTCAGATAAGCAAAGCGATCCACTATGGACTCATCTATGCATGGGCGTTATAAAAAGAAACTACTGTTTATCAATAATCACACATCAGCGTTGTGTTGTATTGTATGAATTTCCCTTTATGATTGTTTCGAGGGAGCCTAGCTTGTAGTTGTACTTTGTGGTTCCTACATGTTTCTGTTGATTTGTTTTATGTAGAATCTACCCCTATTCACATGTTTACGAGGATATCTATTCTACTACCATCTTCATATGTAGTAGTGGAAATAAAATTAGAGAATGATGTAGTTGCTTTACTCCCTATTTCTTATTTGAGATGCATTTCTTCATGTGAACACCAGGGTTTGGTGAGTGGCAACACGAGGATGAAGCGACAAGCTCGGTAAGCCCTCCCTACCCCCCCCCCCCCAGGGCATGCCTACTGAGCTTGTCGTGTCCTCGTGGCTCTTCTGGTCCTTCCTCAAAGCTTCGGAGGTCTCTTTTTGTCCATAAAAAATCATCATAAATTTTCAGCCCGATCCAAGAACTTCTATTTCTGCACAAAAACACCACCACGATAGTTCTGCTGAAAACAGCGTCAATCGGGGTTAGTTCCATTTAAATTATATAAAACTGCACCAAAACATATTTTTTTTGTAAACATGACATGAATACTTCACAGATAATAAATACGTTGGAGACGTATATATCACGCCCCACAGCTAGGGATTGATACACACAAGAAAGATATTGTGATGCAGATTACTTTGGGTTTAATTTATTACTTGACTTTTTTGGCAATAGTCATCTCTAGCATTGTATATCCGCAGGTTACAATTAACTTCAAAACACATAACGAGAACTCTTAATAGACTTCTTAACAAACTTGCATACATTAGGCAAACCTTCTACGGAGCTAAAACCTTACCATAATCAAGTCCTAAACTCATAATTAATATTTTCCAGGATCAGCCTCTCATATTTTGTCCTGTTGGTTAGGTAAGTGGCACATATATAATAATCTTTTTTCTTTCTTCATAACTCATCTTTCTAGTAAATGTATATCCTTTTTATGCAACATTCAATATACTACAACTAACGTTAGTCTTGAGTACTAGCGGAACTAACAATGTTATCATGCCAATGTATGAAAACTTTTTAGTGAGATAATTCTCACACTATCATTTTCAAATACATTTTGTTATATTAAACGTTTTTTGTTGTAACAATATTCATTTTGAAAATTCCTTTTGAGATGTTTAATAATATATTTTATACAATGGATTGGACCATAAATCTAAGCAGGCCAAATGAATAATATTATTCCAAACATTAGTTTACATCCTTAACATATTATAGTGTGTGTATATGTGTCCTTGTACACAATACATTTGGATATTCATAGACCTTGGTAGAGTGTTATGTGTATCAGTCTAGCAATTAAATGATAAGAAGATTAACATCACATAGGTTTTAAGAGTGCAAAACTAACAAATTTAAGTGTAACCAACAAAGAATTTCAACCGTGTGCAAAGTGTAAACAAGTAGTTTGTCCTTAAATCATCCTTCATTCGTGTTTGTTCATGGTGCTTGTTTGTCTAATTTACCGGCTAGTCATGGGTACATCACAATGCATGCGTTGTACTTAGAGATCGAAATCATACCGTCCTTAACATACACGAGTATATAGAATTCAAATTATGCATATCCTAATATTTACGCATATGTTTTTATACGTTTCTCTCCAGAAAATGCTTGTATAGTAATATTTAAGCTGTATAGCTATCCAATAATACTAGTAATATGCCTCTCTCTAGAAATGTATTCACGAGCTAATTTAAAAAATCATACAACAAGCCAGAAAAATTATACATGTACTAGTGGGCTATATTGGACTAACAGAGCGCCTCTGTAATTCTATTGTGAAAGTCCCATCAAATTACAAGTAAACTACCGTGGAAAATTCTGCCATGTCGCTGGTATCAGAGCATACATAGTGTGGTCTTTTTCCACCTCTAAGCTTGCCTCTAAAGTCTTGGAGGCTGATGCTATACATTGCAGTCCTCGCCTCTAACACAAAAATATGGCGTCGCCTCTAAGGTAAGAGGCAACCTTCATTCACTTAAAAAATTCAAAAGAATCAACTCTTTGCATGGTTGGGTTCTCTCACGCATGTGAGCAGCTCTAAAGTCATGGAGAAATTACTTGCTTACCTATTGACTGGTCCCAGCTTTGAGGCACTAGGAAATGCTATACACTACATCATTTCCAGCTGAGCTTAGAGGCTTCACGTGGGTCCCGGCTTAGAGGCAACGCCGCCTCCAACACACTGTTGATGCCCTCAAACTCTTTCTAACTTGCCTAACCAAACAAAACCCACAAGCAAAGAGGATAGCATGTAGCCCTCTGGAGCAAATGTTGTGTTGGAAAAAAATCTAGAAAAAAAAATAAATATATCGTGATGATTTGCTATTTAAAGTATGCCATGAGCGATTAGCATCAATATAAAGGAAAGTGACACTCTATTCATACAAGATGTTTTACCTTCAGAAAGAAAACACACATCCAACTGTGAAAGGAAATGATATATCGTCAGCAAATAAAGGATGGTTTATTATGTCTATGTCAATTGTCAATAAGATGCTTATACTCCCCCAAACTACATATCAAAGATATAAGTTTAAACTGCATGGCATCTATCATGACTTTTACTAAATGGTCATAGCACCTTCGCTCAAACAGTGCATGAAATTAACTGAATAAGTGGAGGTACAGTGTCCAAAACCATTCTTATACAGAACAAGTACATACTACAACAAAAAGTGTAGAAAGTCAGGCCGAGGAGGATGAGGAACACGTCTCATTAATTCTGGATAGAAACAGACGTCCAATATAAAGACCCGGCGTAAAAGATGGAAGGTTTAGAAAAGGAACTAGGCGCTTTGGTTGAATATATGGGCCGTGGGATGAAAGATGTATCGATGGCTGCTGAGTGGTCTGATTAAAACTTGGTAACTGTCGGACCTACGAGAAGAAGTGTTTCCAATTTATTAAGGGGTTCATTGAGGCCAACTGCAAACCTTAATTAATGCATCTATTTTCACTGGTGGGGCACACTAATATCAGTAACGTAGGCCAACCGCAAAAACATACTTTTACCCCGTGAAGGGCATTGTGGGTCCGTAGCAGCATATCTTTGATCGTGCAGACTAAATTGATGACTTTGGATATTGCCTCTCATTCACCACTTTACAGATTCACATATCTGTCTCATTTCTTTCTCTTTCTCAATTGAATGCACACCAAATCAGGAACTCAGTGATAATGGAGCGTATGGATATATATACACTACCATCCCCCTCGTCCTCAACTACTCGACTAGGCAGCATATATAGCACGAGATGGTCTTTCTTTTTTCCTCTCTCATCTCTTGTACTCAAACAACAACACATTTAGGAATGAGAGGCCTCGGGAAGAAAGGAGGAACCGGAAGCATGCCTGGCAACCGTGCTCGAGAACCAAATCGACGCCCGACACTACAAGAATGATACTTCTAGTCTATTTTAGCTCTGTCTATATTTGGATGTGTTTCTTGTTCATTTCTGTCGAGCTACTATAATACCTTCCAACAAATCTCGCTGAGTGTCGAGGAGATTATGAAAGGGAAAGCCCCGATGACAGCCGACACGCTTATACAATGGCCCCCATCTGTGACACATGCACCACGTAAACCATGGCCTTCTCCACAAGCGCATGAGGTGGCATTGTCAGTAGATGGTTCCTTCGATCCTTCTGACAGATCAGCTGGCTCTGGTATGATTCTTAGAGACAAGACCGGGGTTGTTATCTTTGCATCCTACCGCAAACGGTTCCACTGCAATGAAGCTCTCGAGGCAGAATTACAAGCTATGATGGAAAGGCTAAAGCTAGTGGTAGAGCATTCACAAGGCACGATCCTACTTCAGTCCGATTGTGCGGTGGCTCTCAAGATGCTTGGGGATGTCTCCTTGGACAGGTCGGCGTATGGGCATCTGGTGTCGCAGTTCAAGAGGTATCTGAATGATAGGGTGGTTATTCATGTTAAAATTCTTAGAGAGCAGAATAGGGTTGCACATTGTTTAGCGAATTTTGGTAGAAGTGGTGATAGCACATCATGTTGGCTGGACCATTCACCCCTATGCATTAGCAAGTTAGTCGCTGAAGATTGTAACTCTATCACACTGGAATAAAATACCCTATGATTCTTCGAAAAAAAAAACAAAAAAAACAATGCTCTAATGATGTCCCTGGGGCAGAAGTAGAAGCTCGGATGGTTCTAGGATATTAACCGGCTTCCTATCTGTACGATTTCCTTGAAATGGACGAGAGTTGGTGGATTAATCGAATCGAGTTATTGTTCTAGAATAGCTTGTTATGTCTCGGTCAATTGTCAATTGTCAGGCCCTGTACAACACACGTAAAAAAACGATTTTTCAAAGATTGATTTCTCAGCGTGTTTCGCAGCTTGAGGGAAAGGGATTGAGTTTATAGAAGGGAGTTTGTTTGGGGATTAGGCTTCCGATGCTCGCCAGAAATAACTGCTCCCACGATCGACGGACGGCCGGACGGGTGCTTTACCCTCGTGCCTCCATCGGCTAAAAGAAAGGACCCATCTCCTATAGCAGCCACATCCCCGCCGGCGATTTGGTCAGTATATCACCATGGACGGCAGTTGACGTCAGGCGCCGGTGACGCCCCCCGCGGCCGAGTTTTTCCACGCGCACCGCGACGATTGACACCACCGCCCAGTCGGTCTTGGCCACCCAACCTTACTTTTACCAGTTCACGGCCTCACCCTCATTTTCTCTGCTCCCCGAAACGCGTCGTGCTCCACCTAGCAGAGAAGCGCAAGCAACCTCCCTGTTTCCTCGGTCGCTCTCGCTCACTACCCGCCCCGCCGTCCTGCGCCCCGGCCCCGTCCCCTCCGCCCCGATGTCGCCGGACCTGCCGAAACCGCCCTGCAAAGGCAGCGACGACGACGACTGCCGCTCTCCTCCATCCTCCGATGGCAGCCGGCGCCTGGTCACCCCGCTCGTGGTCACCGCGTTCGTCCTCGTCTTCCTCGCTCTCGCGTCCCTCTCCATCTACTGCTTCATCCGTCGCAGGAGGCGCCGGCGCCGGCAGCAGTCCCTTCTCGCCGCCGAGGCTGCCAACCCCGGCGTCCAGGGCGACGGCCCCGCCCCCGAGATGGCTGGCGCGGCGATCGCGACCGACGTCGAAGTGGGCGCTCCAGGTCCAGAGGATGAAGAGGTCGTGCACCACGCGTGGCACATCCGCACCGTGGGGCTCGACGAGAAGGCGATCGAGTCCATCGCGCTCACGCGGTACCGCGCCGGCGCGGGGACGCAGGGCGGCGCCGCCGACTGCTCCGTCTGCCTCGGCGAGTTCCTGGACGGCGAGCTCCTCCGGCTGCTCCCCAAGTGCGGCCACGCGTTCCACGTCCCCTGCATCGGCACCTGGCTCCGCGCCCACGTCAACTGCCCGCTCTGCCGCGCCGACGTCGTCGTCTTGGACTCCGCGGCCACCGGCGGTTCGGATCCACCTGCCGACGACGCTCAACAAGTTTCCAGCGGCACCGATACCTTGAATCACGAGCGGCCGGGTCCAGCTCAACAACGGCCGAACGAGCAGCAAGAGCTGCGTGTGCAGATCGACCAGCGCAACCGGTCGAGGTCGCCGGAGCCACCGCGCAGGAGGATGCAGACTTTTCGCCGCGTAGCTTCCATGGACTTGTCGGTGGTGTCGGCCAGGGCCGGGCTGGTTCCGGAAGACAAGCGGAGCAGTGCAGAAAACCAGGGGAACGGCGAGGTGCCATCGGGCTCTGGACGCTTGCGGTATTTGTCCGGCGGTGGTCGGCGGTCTCTCCTCTCGGGACATCGCCGCACGAGCAGCTCCATGCTCCCGTCTTGACTGCCCGGAAATATTCCATGGGTCGATTGAGCCCGTTCTTGAGCTTGAGCAGTGCCAGTGCTAGGTTAGTTATGCTTCCGTGTACAAAGTTGCAAACTCAAATTGGACGGTCACATGTCCGATATAGCCGAATCATGTGTGAAATTCAGATGTAATGTCGGAACCTTGTTTTTTCAGAGAGATTGATGGTCTGCTCTCTGCTGCCACAGTTTCATAGTCGTCTAATGTATTGCACTATTGCTTGGTGGGTTTTAGGGTCGAAAATGATACACCTTTCTTGACAATCATCTCATCCTTTATTCATTCATGTCGATTGTGGCTTCCGTTAAAATAAAAGGAATTACCGCCTCAGGTGCGGATTCTAACCAGAAGTTTGGAGTAGAAAACCTAGCAATCCTAACTAGTTCATGAGCGACCTTATTTCTCTCTTTATTACAATGTTCAATAGACCATATGTTTTTTTTTCTTGATTTCGAAAATGCTAGGTAAACCTACTTCCTAACAAATCTCTCCACCACCTGAATTCAAATGGGTGCCCCCCCGTCCTCTAATTTCGTCCAACAGAAAAATGCCATATAGATCATTACATTAATCATGTAAAACTGTTTACGTGGGTTAGCATTACTGATTTTAGGGTACCCCTTACTACTTTTGTCGATTTTTGGTTGGTAATTTACAAGATCCCTCGTTGTGACCACTCTTGTCTGGCTGTGCATTTGTCGTCGCCGGACATTGGAGGCACTTGTCTATAATGTACGACCAATCTGCCATGCACTCCCTCTATAGTCTGTACTCGCTCATCCGGCCGCGGTCATGTGGTGCTGTCATAGTTGTCCGTTCATCGCATATGTCGGCAAGATCCTATATGTATGTCTTAAGACTTATGATGGCAGTTCCTATTCGGCGCTTTAGGAAAATTGACATGGTTTGCTTCTTGGTCTACCCAATCAAGGTTAGACCTCGCTCTATCAACCATTGCTTTAAATAGTATCATGTTATTTCATCTTTCATTGATACCATCATTACAAATTGAGGGCCTACAATCCATTGAAATCCCTCTCTTTTTTTCTTCTGTTTTTAACGTCCACAGAACTACACACTGTGGTATGTTACGAACCACTGACCTCCTAGTCATTGGAATATTACGTCAACCGCCCCGCCATCCGCACTTGATTTGATCAATTACATCTTCTCCTTTTTTTTCTTCTTTTTTTCTATTTTCTTTTATCTTTTTTCTTGTTCCTTTTTTTTGCCACAGTTTTGTTTGGTTTTTTTATTCTTTTTAACTTTCTATTTTTTTGCTAAATTGAATGAAGTTTTTTTTTCAAAATCAATGATTTTTTTTAAAATGGATAAACTTGTCTTCAAAATCAATGAACTTTTCTTCAAAATCAATGAACATTTTTTCAAAATTGATGATTTTTTTAAAATTGATGAACTTTTTGTCAAAATCGAGGAACATTATTTGAAATAAATGATTTTGTTTTCAATTTTGTGAACTTTTCTCAAATTTGATGAACTTGTTTCATGATTAATGAAACTTTTGTTTTCAAATTCTTGAAATTTTTTCAGTATTTAATGAAATTTTTCAAGATGGATGAACTTTTCAATAGCTTCGTGAAATCCACAAACTCTTTTCAAATCCATGTATGTTTTTTTTATTCTGTGTACTTTTGTAAAACTCATGACCTTTTTTGAAATTCATGAAATGTTTTCCATTTTGGAATATTTTATATCCACATTTGTTTTTTGAAGTGAATCGATCACTAGTTAAACGTTTGAACAGTGAACCGATCGTACGACCGAATCATTGCACGAGCAAAGAAAAGAGGTGGGGTGAGCGACCAACTCGCTTGTTTCGCCGGCCCACGCGAGGCGGCCACCTGAGCGCCACCGGAGAGTGAGCTGGGGCCTGAAGCGCCATTAGGGAGACCTCCTATATGGCGCGTAGGGCGCCACCCAGTCGCGGTAGCGCGGCCAGTTCGGCCAGCTCATGCGCTGGGCAGGCGCCCCCGTTTTTCCATTTTTATTTTCACTTTTCCTTTTCAAATTTCTGTTTTTGTTTTATTCTATATTAAAATAATTTGGGGTTTTATGTAAAATTTAAAACATTGTGAATTGTAATAAAACCAGTTCCTGATTTTAAAAAAACGCGATTCAAAATAATGAATATTATTTTAATTTTATTGAACATTTTTATATTTCATGAACAAATTTTGAGTTTGACGAAATTTTTTTGAAAATGATGAACAACATTTGAATTTAATGAACATTTGTTTAGGTCGGTGAACAAATTTACATTTTGGTGAACCTTTTTTAATCCAATGAAGAGAAAAATTGAATTCGATGAACATTTTTTGAAAATGATGATTTTTTTGAATTTAATAAACATTTTTTGAAATCAGTGAACACATTTTGAATTATGGTTAACATTTGTAAAATCTGATGAACAAAAATGTTGAATTCATTGAATATGTTTTGAAAATGATGAGCAAAATTTGAATTTAATGAACCATTTTTAGGCCGGTGAACAAATTTTGCATTTTGGTGAACATTTTTGAAATCCGACGAACAAAAAAGTTGAATTCCATGAACAATTTTTGAATTGTTGAACTTTTTTAGTTAGATGAAAACAAAGTGTTCGTGAATATGAAAAGAAAATTTGCAAAAAGGAGGAGAAAATAGGAAAACCGAAAAGAAAAGGAAAGAAGAAAAGAAAAGGAAAGAAAAGGGAAAACAGAACAAATGGGTGACCTCGCGCCCCACATGGGCCCGCCCGGAAAGAGCGCGGGTGAGCTGGGGGCACGGTGGTAGGGGCCGCCCTACGCGCCATATAGGATCCCGTGCAGAAGGTACCATGTGTAATCATCGGGAAGCAATGGGATGCTCACCTATCGTACTTGGGTGTGCTTGGTTGCACTAATTTGGCCAATACCTTGGGGATGCAAAATGAGTCGGTTTGGTTGCATGGGCTGCATCCTTCGTGGCCTGCACGGTTATTAAAGCAGCCCGCAGCCTGGTTCAAGAGGATCCCCGATCCTATTCCGTGCCATAAGTGTCGGTTATAGGCTATATCGCCAACCGGCGCACACCTCTGTGTACACTACGTATAGTAGCGGGCCTGCCGATATTATTCCCCATTTTTCTACCATTTTCCTTCTGTTTATAAATACAAATATGTCTTCAAATTGATAGTTTTTTAAAATATGTTGATATTTTTCAATTTCATGATTTTTTCCAAATTTCATGAACTTTTTCCAAATTCACGATTTGTTTTCAGTTTTTGCTAGTTTTTAGGAATTTGTGAACTTTCTAAAATCCAGAAATTTTTCATTTTTAAAACTCCGTTTTTCATTTTCAAGCGCTCTTTTCAAAAAAATGATGATTTTTTTAAATTTGTGATTTTTTTCAAAATTGCTGAACTTTTTTTAAGTCCATGATTTTATCAGAAACACTATGAACTTTTTATTCCAAATAACGATCTTTTTTGAAATTCTTGAAATTTTCTGATTTTGTGAATTTTTTCAAATCCATGAATTTTTCCAACATTTTGTGATTTTAATTATTTTTTGAAAACTCATTGGTCTAAATGTTCAATACGTCAACCGTGACAGAGAAAACCAAAGCATACATGGGGCGAGCGACCACGTCGCACATGGTGTAGGGCCGACCTAGAAACACGGGACGTGTGGGTGCTGGTTCTCCTAGCTGGTGCTTAAGGCATTGACTAAGTAGTCTTGAGGTTATTTTGGTTTTTTGAGTTTTTTTCCTAATATTTTCTAAAAACCTTTATTGGGGTAAAAAATTGACCCAATATGGCTCTAAATTTGAATTTTCGCTCTAATATTTTTCTACTTGGCAAAACTTATTTAAACTATCCCAGATTGAATATAAGGGTTTGGTGGAAAAAATTTCGAATATTTTCCAAATGTTTTGTGGAAACTCTTTTTGTCAAAAATTTGACCCAAAACCGGCCAGAGAGATGACATGGCAGATGAGTTGGCACTGACTAGAATGTTGTTTGGTTAAAACCCGTGAAAAATCAACGCACATTGTTTCTTGTTCGGTTTTGGAGTTGAGAGTTGTAAATTAGACGGTTTCATGGTTCAGTGTTGTGTTTTAGACTTCCATGATAGTTTTTTTTATTGACAAAAGGTATATACCTAACTTTATAGATAAAGCCAAAGGCACCAGAAGCAAAAGTCACGACCACAATAAATGGCCAAAGAACATAACCACCTAGTTTAATGCTGACACAACATCAATACAGTTTAATGGCACGCATGCCATTACCTTTTTTCTGAAAAGGAGGATGTCCCCCGGCCTCTGCATCTGGGAGATGCATACGGCCATTTTATTGATTATTCTTGATGACCTTACAAAGTGTAACAATAATATGTCTGAATCCACCATCTTGGCAGTATCTGCCGCTACTCCTATCCAAATGATAAAGGGGTGGAAGCTGGGCCACATACCCATACCTCTCACCTAAACCTAACATCTAAAGCCGGAGGCCCCGACCGAGCCATCTGCCAGGTCCGGGGCTCAAACCGGTTTGACACACTCACATGTGTGGTCGCCGCCATCTTCCTCTGGTCCATCTTCAGAGCAGATTGAGTGACAACCTTGGCAGGTCCTCCGCCATCGACGCCACCATGACACCAAACGACGACCTCCACCTATGCCAGCCTTGGCAGGTCCTCCGCCACTGACGCCAGCATGACGCCAGCCGACGATCTCCACCTACGCGAGTCTATCTCCAAGCAACAGACATAAAGCCATGCTAGGAAAGGGCCGCACCACCGCCATCGCCCACCACCCACAAGCGTCACCCAACGCCAAAGTTCCCAAAGTGGCGCCTTCAAGAAGGGAACGGCGCCGTGAGCGCCGCCACCGCCCAACAGAGTTAGGGCTTTCACCCGAGAGACCTAGGGGAAGGTGAAGTGAGGAGATCAGTCCATACCAACGTCTCCAAGGAGGGAAAAGGCGCTCAGGCGTCG